GTTGTATCTAAAGGAGTTGGAAAGGGAGGAACACCAAATTCAGTTGCAAAATCTTCATTGTCTTCCATATTCATATTCTCTAGTGCGTCTGTAGCTGATTCAACCATTTTCCCCGTTGCTCAATCTTTCCCGAACACCAACTTCAACCGCTCGTAAGCCGGGAATGACTTATTAGCCGTGCAATTTTTGTTGGGATGTTTCTACGACAAAAAACAAAGAAACAATTATTAAGAGAAGTAACAAAAAGTATTATACATAACCCATTACCGTTACTAATATCTAACCTTTAAATACTTATCCAAAATCTCGGGAGCTTCCACAGTCACGCATTGATTTGCGTCATTCCATCCAAATCCACTTGTATTCAACATATCATAAGCAGAATAATACTTATCTTTTAGCCGCTTAATCTTGTTTTGTACATGTTTCGACATGAGGCTAATACCGGGAATTTTTTCTCTCATCTTTGAAGCAACAGCCTCATATGTACCTGACCTAAAGCTTTCGTTGTCACCTCTACCCCCCCCCCCCCGGTTGATGACAATGTCTTGAAGAATTGTGATCAACAAGTCCTCCTCATCCGTTGTCCACCCATGATGATCAACCATTTTTTATAAATCTATAAAACAATACCAAATACCAAAACAAGATTTCATTATGAAGACAATACCAAAACAAGATTTCATTACGAAGACAATACCATATACAAAAACAAATATAATTCATTTACAAACAATACAAATATAATTCCATTACAAACAAGACAAATATAATTCCGTTACAAACACCAATTCATATCAATGTCAATTACGGTTTAACATCCAAGATTCCACATCTCTTCGGCTAAATCATCTCTCCACTGAGACCACTCGTCACTTGCCTCAACGACATCAATGGACTTTGATGGTAAAGAGTGGTCTTCCCCAATAGGCATATCTTCAATAGTGATTGTTGAATTTTCATGAGAATCAATGGTCATGTATGTTCTAATAAAATTTTGCAACAAAGCACACGCTAAAATCATTCACCCTTGATATCTTATTGGATAGAAAGAAGGACTTCGTAATATAGCCTAACGTTTCTTCATGATGCCAAAACAACTTTCGATAATTTTCTATTATGTGAGTGCTTCATATTAAAGTATTCCTCCTTATTAGTAGGTGCACGACTAGCATCTTACCATTCTCGTAAATGATACCTAGTGCCCCTATATGGTGCCAAAAAACCTTCACCATTAATATATTATGCATCCGCCAAATAGCAATTACCGGGTGTGACTTTAAATCCATTTTGTCTAGTAACTGCATCTCGTAGAACTCTAGAGTCGGTAGCTGAACCTTCCCAACCGGCTAAAGCGTAGACAAATTTTAGATCACGAGTGCACACACCTAATACATTGGTCGCATTATGTCCCTTTCTTGTTCAATATCTTGGTTTATCATGCTTTGGTACAGTTACTTCAATATAAGTTCCATCTATTGCTCCTAGACAATTAAATAGGTTTTAGCTAAAGGATAAATGTTATATTATGTATTGTATAAAGATTGTTATAATAAGTATCTTAAACCATTTTCCATCGTGAATCCGTACAACCATCTTCTATAGGAGTTGGTTTGACAAGCAACACGTCTTCCAAATGCAATATAGCACACAAAACTCGATGAACATATTAACTTGTTGTTTCCGCCAACCTATAGAACCTAACTTGGATAGTCTTATTCTTAATGTGGTGTGCTAATATGTTTATAAATATAACAACTTGCTCCTTGATTGTCATATTACCATCATCTATTAATCCACCACGAGTTTTAAGCAAATCACACAAAACTGCAAAAGCATTTATATCCATTCGCAACTCATTTATACAATTTACATCACTTTCTCGTGTAATACGTTGTATTTCTATTGATCTAATTTGAAGTCTAGTGAAAGTTCTTTGACCTAAAGTTTCTCTTTCACGATTTCTATTCTCCAGTTCAATTAACCAAAGTGTAAGGGAAAAAAATAAATGAGCATTTGAATGTAAATATTCCATAAGTTAACGAGTACATCCAAGTGATTTCGGTCCATCACTATAAAAAACATAAAACAAAGTAACAAACAATAGTCAGAACAATGACCCAAGATGCATTTTTCAGATGCATCTTTCAACAAACAATGACCCCATTATAGAATTATAAACCATTATAACTCTAGTACGCTTTTAATATAAAGCACTCTTATTAAAAAGATGTGTTCATGGCATGCTTGTACAAACGTTTGCCGGTGATATTAATAATATCAAAGCATTGTAGTGGCCAACATTGCATAGGTTAATTACAAGCCCCCTCCATTTCAACTAATATAAGAAAAAAGCTTGAATTTTGGGACAATTTCCAAGAATCTTTGATAAAGTTACCAGAAATTGCTTCCTGACATTCTAGACTACATGAAAACCCACAGGTGATAAACATGCACTGCAAGAGTAGAGAGAGGTTGGTGGCTAGTCTCTATATTGGTAAAAAAATCCATATTGATTTTGCAGTCCCCACAGTGTTTGATTGCAAAAATGTTCATGTTTGATTGCACTTGTTACTAGCCCACAAGTGCATGAACAGAAGCAATGCTGATTAGATTGGTTTTAGTGCTCTGTGTTCTGGTTTTGAATATTTTGGGGATGCAATCCTAACCTCATGCTTTCTTATCAATGGTTCTGAATATTAGTTTTATAATACGGTTCTAAATTTGAAACATAGTCCTTGTCGAAACAGAAATAAGTAATATACTTATTTCCATTTGTTAAAAAGCAAATGTATTTTAATACAAAAACATAGTCCCTGTCGATTGCAAGGTTAATTGCAAGAACTCAACTTGATTAGTACAAAGATAAGAGAATCATAGCAAATGATCAAGAAAACACCATTCATAAAGAAGGGAAATCAAAATACAAGACCGATATATGCAAAACCACATAACTCCATAACCAATTTTCAAGTTTTTGTTGAGATTCACTGGTTTTTGCAAGAACGCATACAAAGAAAACGGAAAATCGTATGCAGGCAAAGAAATGAGAGGGAGAAATGGAGAAACCGTACCGATTGCAAAGGAGAGGAGGCGATGGATCGAGGCCGGTGGAAGAAGACAGAGATCGAGCCGATGTGGAAGACGACGATGGAAGGAGGCAATGTGGAAGAAAGACGAGTACGTGATGAAGGAGGCTGCACAGATGGTGGTATAATTAGGTTTTCTATTGGAAGAAATAACAAGAGTAATATAGTCATTTTATATTCAGTCCTATGTTATTCCACCTTTTTTGGTGGAACAAAAAATATCAAGTTTTATCCTATGAAATTTTAAAATAGTCTCATCTTGTCGTATGTATTTTTTTGTACATGGCATGCCAAACATGAGACTATTTTTTTTGGTCTCGTCCCATATAGTCTGCATACCAAACACACCCTTAGGTGGCGTTTGGTTCATAGATTCTGGAGGAATCTGATGGAATTGGAATGTTGAATTCCATTGACCAAATTTCATTCTCTCGTTTGGTTTATTCTATTTCACGAAAGGAATCTTCAAAATCCTACAAATTCCACAAATAAAGAATTTAACATTTCTTAGCAACTACATGGTATTTTGATGGAATGAAATCTCTATCTTCATTATACCGAATATGCCCTTAACCTAATATACTTAAATCTCATAAAACTCAATATGACTATCGTCGACCACCACCACCAACTACCAACTACCACCGATATGAACCACCGCCGACCACCACCGATATGAACCACCGCCGACTACCATCGATCTGAACCACCGCCGACCACCATCGATCTGAACCACCACCGACCACCATCGATCTGAACCACCGCCGACCACCACCGATTTGAACCACCGCCGACCACCACCAACTACTACCGCCGATCTGAACCATCGTCGATCTGAGCCACCACTGATCTGATTCACCGACAATCTAAACCACCGTCGATAACCGCCATCTGAACCACCATGGACCACCGCCTATCTGAACCACCACCACCTACTACCACCGATCTGAACCATCGTCGACCACCAACCGATCTGAACCACCGTCGACCACCACCACCGACTACCATCATTGATCTATATCACTGCCAACTACCGACGACTACTATCGATCTGAATCACCGTCGAACACTGCCGACCACCACCGATTTGAACAACCACCGCCGCCACCGCCTACCACCGATCTGAACCACCACCACCGACTACCATCATCGATCTAATCACTGGCAACTACCGACGACTACCATCAATCTGAATCACCGTCGAACACCGCCGCCACTGCCTATCTGAACCATCGCAGACCACCTCCATCTGAACCACCGCGGACCACCATTGATCTGAATCACTGTGGACCACCACTATCTGAACCACTGTGGACCACCACCAATCTGAACCACCACGACTACCGTCGATTTAGTAACACCGTTTGACTTATGATTATATTTTTGGTTGTGTAATTTATATTTTTTTACATATTAAATAATTATTTTATTAAAGTAATTTTTAGTTTAAAGAAATTCAAATTTTCAAAAAAGGACATTTTGATCATTTACCAATATTTTATTTCAATTCTAAAGCTACATTATGTGAACCAAACATATATATTCCAATTCCTTAAAAGATTCCATTCCAATGTCTACCAACCAAACAGGTGGTCAAACCTGACAACATTACATTCCAATTCCTTCAAAGTCAAATTCCTTTAACAAATTCCATTCCATCCAAAAACATTCTGCAAACCAAACGCCACCTTAGTATTTAGATGGAAAAATAGAAAGAATTACTTGGTAGCTTATTAATTTTGGTATCGTTATAAGTTAATCCAAAATAAAAAGCTTCTATATAAAACCATTAACTAGATAAAAAAAACATTTGTTGTTTTAAGTAAGCATTCCCAAATTAGTTTTGTGAGGGGTAATTTTGGTATAAAGTGTACCCTGGAACCAAAACCCTCGCATCCAAAACCACGCACACTACTCCTCCGTCACTGTTTTTGGCGTTCCACTCTTCACATTTCTCCTCATTCACTCTCTGTTCTTTCAAGGATTAGGGTTTCGATCGCAAGCAATGGATGATGTATGCGAAGGGAAGGATTTCTCGTTCCCAAAACAAGAAGAGAAGATCTTACAATGGTGGACTGAAGTAAAAGCATTTGAAACCCAACTCGAGAAAACCAAAGGCCTGCCGGAATACATCTTCTACGATGGGCCACCGTTTGCCACTGGCCTACCTCACTACGGCCACATCCTCGCTGGAACTATCAAGGACATCGTCACGCGGTACCAGACAATGACGGGACACCACGTGACACGCCGTTTTGGATGGGATTGCCACGGGTTGCCGGTCGAGCATGAGATTGACACGAAACTCGGGATTAAGAGCAGAGAGGATGTGATTAAGATGGGGATTGACGTGTATAATGAGGAGTGTAGGAGTATTGTTACCAGGTATGTTGGGGAGTGGGAGAAGGTAATTACGAGGACGGGAAGGTGGATTGATTTTAAGAATGATTACAAAACCATGGATTTGAATTTCATGGAGAGTGTGTGGTGGGTGTTTTCTCAGCTACATAAGAAGGGCCTTGTTTACAGAGGGTTTAAGGTTGGTTCTTGATCAAATTGTCTTGTTGTTCCTTGCAAAATGACTTCCTTAATTCAGCATTTGGTGAATTATACGCTATCAACTTAATACCTCATGTCATATGTTGTACGAAACTAAAGCCACACTGACTTTGGATGTCAATCATGTCATATTGGTTGCCTGTGTAACATCATAATTTGCATGTGTATATATAGCTTTCGTGAATTTTGGTAATTCATTACATTTCATGGAAATTAGTTGCTCTCTTTTTTATTTGGTCTTGGTTTTTCTTGGCATGGCAAGAAGTACTTCTTGGTGGAGTAGAATTAGCAGCAAAAGAAGAAAGATAGAAAGTTCAAACATATTTTATTCTTGTGTCTTGACGGTATTTTCAAATGTGTAATGCCTTTTTTGTGGTGTTGCTATTGATTAACAGGTGATGCCGTACAGTACTGGCTGCAAGACTCCACTGTCCAATTTTGAGGCTAATTCAAACTACAAGGTTTGAAATGAAAGTTGTCATGTTCTTCAAAGTATTTTAAACCATCTTTGTTTTTGTATTTTCTATTTCTTATGATCGTTCTCTCTTTTTTTAACAGAGCTGGTTATTCACTATGTGATTATTGTTATGGGTTGGGATCCCATTTTAGTAAATCATGAACATTATCAACTCATTGGAGTTTTAGTAACTACTGTAAATGTACACAAACAATAAGAAGCACATATATTCAAAGAGGAAGGCATGCTTTTGTTTTGGTTAATCCAACAATAGGATTGTCTGACCCAAATGGTAGGACACTGCATATATGGTATTCTTGGGAGTCTGGCTTGCCTGTTTTTGAAGTATCAACATTTATATAATAAGCCTTTATCATATTGATAGTGTAATAGCATAGTCTTGTCCTTAGTCTTGTTTGATGATTGATATTGTTTTAAAGTACTTAAATAGCTAATCAACATTTCTTGGTTGATAAAAAAGGCATTATGAATTGACTGGAAAAAAGTGAGTATGCAGAGACTAATTGGAAGCAGAGGATAAATAAACGATGCAAGACCATTGCTGGAGTCATTGCGAAGAACCATGACAAGAGTCGAGAAGAGAACAAACTATAGAAACAAAAGATCATAGAAAAGAGAGGAGAGGAAAAGGGTGAATATTAAGTCGTGATTCAACAACTATGAGGTTGAGAAAGAAGGATAGGAACCCCCTCAAGAGTTGCCACCATGACACACATAAGAAAAGCTCTTGACAGACAGATTTGGTTAACATATAGCACATAACACATATTTATACATTTTTAAAGAACCAATTTGCTGTACAGCAATTCATAGAAGATTCCAACTTGTTATTAAGTTTTAATTTGCTTCACGAATCAGACTGCATTGGATGGTGGCATTTACGATTTTAGCAACACTCAGAACCTTATTTCTTGCCAAATTTCAGTTTGGTATTTTTCAAAAAATTTATTGGGGTCATTGTTGTGAAAGACATGCCCTTGCATTTGCCTAGGGCCCAGACTCATTGAGGGACAACTTTGGGGCCTCGCCTTGGTTGAGGCCTATTGGCTTCTATGAGGCTTACGTCTTGCGCTTTGCTTTTAAGGGAAAGGAGTGGGGCTCATGCCTGATTGAGGCCTATTGGCCTATTGGCTTCCATGAGACTCATGAGATTCATTGAAGTGAAAAGCAACTCACCTTTTTGAGGGTTTTACTTTTTTACTGCAATTTTTTGTCTTAGTCTTTTCTAGTTTAAGTGAAATTGCTTTCAATTAATATAGTTTTATAGTACACAAAAAGAAAAAGAACTCGTGAACGTTACCTATGGCCTTCTCTTTAACTCAAATGTGCCTCTTGGTCTTTTCACTTGTGCTTTGTCTCTTTGTTGCTGTACTCTAATGTTCTTTTGATGATCAAGTGTATGCACTTGAGGGTAACTGAAGTTGGCGGTTGATGTGTTGATGATGTCCATTGATTATTCTTTAATTCATGATAATCGATATTGAAGAGCACGTCAACTTGTGTCTCAAGCCTAGACCATGGAGTGGTCTTTGCACCTCAGCGTGGCTTGTGCCTGGAACAACACTTGACTTAGATTACATAGATCACTGGAACCATGAAATGTGTTCATTGTATATTGTACGCTGAAATCTCACTGAATATGCTGCTTGTGATGATTGTGTATTATAATTCTGATCTGTTTTTACTCTACCAGGTCATATAAATCTATTTTGAGTATAGACTTGATTTTTTACCCTGATTCAACACAAGTTCTGAATATTGTTTAGTACTTCAAGTCTTGTAGTGCTACACTATTATGACAAATACAAGTTAATTTCCCTTTAGCCTTTTCTCATTAAACATACATTGCTTTTCAGTTTCTGTTATCACTTTGCTATGCATCATTTTTCATCTTTCAAGCAGGAAGTGCCTGATCCTGAAATAATGGTGACTTTTCCAATTCTTGATGATCAAGAGGGTGCTGCATTTGTTGCATGGACAACCACACCATGGACCCTCCCTAGTAATCTTGCACTTTGTGTTAACTCAAATTTAGTATATGTGAAGGTTAGTCCCACTATGCCTTAGTCAAAAAGTTGGAGTTCTATTTTGAAGTTACATGAACATTTAATGTTAAGTTTAAATGAAATCAGGTGAAGAGCAAGTCAAATGGAAAAATTTATGTTGTTGCTGAATCTCGACTATCCGAGCTTCCAGTAGAGAAAGCAAAAAAAGGAACACCTAATGGAGCTGTGGATGACAATTCACTTCCCAAGGCCAAGGGATCTACTGGTGGAAAAGCAAAAAGCTCTGTTGTTGCTTATGAAGTGTTGGATAAATTTTCAGGATCTTCACTTGTGGGTAAAAAGTGAGTGCTCTCTTCTTTATCATGTTTGTGCTGACTGTTGACTAATTCAATGACTACTTCTTTGTTTGGCATTTCCTCACTCTTGTAGCAAATTTGGATGAACGAAATAGAATGTTATTTAACAAATAAATGGATATGTTAGACTTGGTAACATGGGATAGTGCTCATAGCAGGAATGGCACAATAGAGCCTATATTTATCACCGATAATCTTAAAAAAGCAGTTAGCAATTTCATGATACCGTTGGAACCCGTTATTGAATTTAATGGGGTCTCGAACCATTGTAAGGTTCCTCTTCAAAGCTTATAGTACCCTGCCCAGTCATCAACAATTCTTCCTGGCTGCCTCAGTATTCTCTCTTCATGTCTGCACATCCAATATTTTGGGTCAGCTCTCAGAATCCAACCTTTCTTGGAGATGGTAGGTGCCTGCCCCTCACGCATACATGGTCTCTTCAAGGGGAGGGGAGAGGAAGAAGAAAGTTGAAGCCTTGAAGGCACAATGCAAATAATAGATAATCAGACGTATTTACATTTTAAAGTGTTAACATTGACTTGTGCATGGAATGAATCTGCATTCTCCAACAGTAACTGTTATGGTACATTGCTGTCTTTTAACTCTGATTTTGTACAAATACTCTGTAATTCTTTCATTTGACACACAGCTTTGCCCTTTCTTTGTATGTGTGGTTGAAGCACAGTACCCAACATCTCCTTTCTTTTGGTAACTATCCTTGTCTTTCATTTCGAGGGCTAATCTTACATCCATCATACTCAGTTCCTGCACCTTAAACCTTTGCAAAATATCTTGGCCATGTTGGCAAGTCCTTTTTTCTATTAAGGAATGTGGCAACTTGTGAAGTGCATACAACTAAGACTTGGCAACATTTGACCCTATTATGGAACCTTTTTTCGAGTATTGATCTTGAAGCTATTCTGATGCAATAGCTGGTGGTGTCACAATGTAGACCAAGATGCTATAATGGTCATATTTGACAGGAGCAAGCTATAAAACTGCTAGTTTAGGGAGTGTGTGGCTGTGTGCCAAAGATGGAGGAGGGGTTCCTTTTACAGGGTATTCCTAGGAGTACTTGGTGTTGAATGCCCCTTTTAAAATTTCTCCTTAAATGAGTTTGAGAAGGAATACTTTATGTTGCAGTTAACTAACTTGTTTCCTTATTTTATTGGTGAATGGCTTAAATCTTGTATTGCAGGTATGTGCCATTATTCGATTACTTTAAGGAATTCTCGGATATGGCGTTCAGAGTTGTTGCAGATGATTATGTAACTTCTGATAGTGGAACTGGAATTGTGCATTGTGCTCCAGCATTCGGTGAAGATGATTATCGTGTTTGTATTGAAAATCAAATAATCAATAAGGTGTGACAGCTGCCTAGTAGATATCTCCCTTTTATTAAGTTTTTTAATTGCAAGTGCTTTGTCGATTTTAGGAAGGGCACCTGCTTGTCTATTTCTGTTGAGAAGTATCCAGTTAACATTGTTTTCAATGCCATCACATTTTTATAGAAGCATGTGAATTACATATGAATTGTTCCATATATATTTTTAGAAATAACCAGATTTTATTCCTTCTTCTACATATAATTTCTTTTTGTGCGTTAATGCATCTAAAACTTCAGTATTGATTCTCCAGGGAGAAAATCTAGTTATGGCAGTTGATGACGATGGCTGCTTTACAGAGAGAATCACTGATTTCAGTGGTCGCTACGTCAAAGAGGCAGATAAGGATATTATTCAAGCAGTGAAGGCAAGAATAGTTGAATGTTTAGTGTGGAACTTAGTCTTTTACATGCACTTGTATGATTATATATGACACATATGCTTGGAATAATGATGGTCAATTGCTTTATCCTTCTCTCTGCAGAATTCAGTGCAGATTTTGAGCACCTTTTTTGACTTTTAGCCAACATATTACCATAAAAGTTATACTGCTCTCTATGAGTGTGTTCCCATTGTCCTTGTCTCTACTTATATCTCATTTTCTCAATGGTGCATCATCCCTTAACCATGCTAATTTTGTTTGCAAGTAGAAACATAGATCTGACCCTATGATTGGATAATTATCATGCCCCTCTGCAAAGTTCATGTAGAAATGTGTACCTTTCCCATTTATGCTATAAAATCCAGTAGATTATGCACATTATTTTCTAGTTCGGGCTTGGAAATTCTCCTTTACACTTGGACATGGTATGCCAGTGATTCAAATAATGGCTCCCTTCATCCCATAAAATGTTACAAAAAACTTTTTAGGCACACAACTTAAGCCTTTAGGAGCATCTTGGTCTGTTACAATATTTTTTGAAGCTTGAAGGATGTATTTGAAAAGAATTCTCAAATGGTTTCATAAGAAGGAAATGTTAAACTACGTACGAAACGGCTGAACAAAATAACCCATTACTTTATTAAGTTGATATGGAAACAAATTTCACAATTGAGAACTCTTTTTACTGCATGCATGTTTTCTAATTTTGTCCCTAGGATATCTTATAGTTTGACAGAAGGATGTTGGTTTCTTATGAACAGTGTAGTTGAAGAGGAAAGATATAAGGTTAGGAAACCTTGTCATCACAATTTCCTTGGGGATATGCAATGAATTACCTAAAGGGGTAAGAGTGTCGGTATTTATTATAGACTTGATCCGTCTTTAGGCTTGAATTTCTTTCTCCGAGTTAGAGGAGTTTTCTGAAGGTCTTCTTCAAGGGCCACTTGGTTCTAAAAAAGACTGTTATGCCAGGCTGAGTATAAGTAGGCAAATGGATGTTTCTGGGGGGAAATATACTAGATTGAGAGAGATCATAATTAAGAACTATTGTTGGTTTGATTAATTAACTATTGAGAGTAATTTGTAGGTGGCAACATATACCTAGCTACTTGGTTAGCATCAGTATCTAAGAAAGGCGAGCATCATTGGAATTTGGAAGTTACATCTTTGTAGAAATTAACTGGTCTCCAAATTTGGGTTATGCTTCCAATCGTGTTATGCCTGCTTATGTTTCAAATGAATGGAGTCAAGTGTCATTATGCATACGTTTGGCCCTGGCTCTTACCCTTTTTGGCTCTGGGTGCTTTTTACTTCTTCTAAGTGAGTGAGGTGTTCCCAAATGTTGGACTTTGTTATTCCTCACTCTCCATTTCTTCTCAAATTTGACGTTCGTGCAGGGACAGTTAGAAGCCTGAAGGTAGCCCTGGCTACCACCATGGTGTTTCTAGGAACTCTGTCAGGCACCCATGGAACTTACCAAATTTCAAGTTCCTCCCTGTACACGTTATCATACGTTCTTTTATTTGGTCCTATGTACATAAGAGTATAAAAATATGTTATACATAAATTTGATTGATGTTAATATGAAGGCAAGAAACGGCAACTGTAACCTTTTGCAAGTATTTCTTTGAATGAAAACATGAGTACTTTATTGGTCAAAAAAGAAAACACAAGTATTTTAAGCAACAGTTTCTTTTATGTCATCTAAACTGTGTGGTTTCATTTTTTTCTACATCCAATTATCAAGGTATTCAGTAAGCATGATCCATGATAGAATTGATTTTCTGTAGTTTGATATGGTAATTCATATATTTTCTATGTAGAAGCTTTGTTGCTTAATCTGCCTAGGTACCTTAAAAACTTAGAAAATGTATAGGGGTTATTGTATTATAGTTACTGAATGCAAATAACTTCTGGCATCCTATGTGCATGTTTCCTTTTCCCTCTCAATATGTTAATTGTTGTATACTTATTTTTTCTGGATGGTGCAGGAGAAAGGAAGGCTGGTCAAAACTGGAAGCTTTACGCATTCATATCCATTTTGCTGGAGATCTGATACCCCTCTCATCTACAGAGCAGTTCCCAGCTGGTACACATCTTATCTTTTAGTACTTGAGTGCTTAAGGAAATCATAGTGATTGAGTTCTGGGAGACCCAGTAAATTCAAAGCTGTTTTTTCATTGTTTGTCTTATGTTTAAAGGATACTTATGTAAGCATAATCTTGGACATGCCCACAATTACTGTCCTATTTTAACCTCTAGAGGATACCATATTTTATGCGTTAGGCTTCATTTCTTTCTCTGAATAATTAGTAGGGAAACAAGCCAACTACAGATTTAGAGATGTGCGCCAACACAAATACAGGAGGGACGGATGCTTTCTTGCTGATCTTGTACCTTCTGTATGTCTTTCATCACTGAGGGAACACTTTCCTTGTTATAACAGTTGTATACCTCCTACGGATTCATAAGGCTTGCACTTAATAGAGGAGGGCTGGCACATGATTGGTAGTTTTCATCAACTAGTTAAGAGAAGGATTATGTTATTCCCAACATGTCAACTCGTTATTCTCTTCTGTGCTTTTTCTTAAGGAAATAATAACCATTTTGGACTTTTTGTTGAATGAAGTCTCTGAAGCTGACAGGCATTTATGTAAATTAGGAAACAAAGAAGGTTCTTTCTTGATATACAACTTTATCTCAGTGGTTTAAGGATGTTTTCTCAAAAAAAAAAAAAAAGGTTCTGCAAAAGTAGAACAAGCCGATGCATACTATTGATATTCCATGTCTAGTTAGGTTTTCTATTCACAAGTTTATGCTTTCAAGCATATGATTGAACTGCCCAGAAAGGATTTGGGAAGAGGTTCATCACTTCTCATGCAGAGTGAGTACAATCAGATTCTAGTGATGGAAATGTGAAATCCTTATATTGTTTTTTACTTAAGAATCTTGAACTATAATTTTGTCTTACTTTTTGTCATCATACAGCTTTTTTTCTACCGTTATCATGATAGAATTCGTCTTAATTTTTTGTTATTTGGTGGGATAAAGTGCTATCATCATTAGTTTATTCTTGTTTCATGGCCAAGGTTTGTTGCAGTAGAGAAGTTGAAAGATCAATTGCTAGAGAACAATAATAAGACGAAATGGGTTCCTGCTTTTGTGAAGGTAAGACCTTTATGTGAATGTTGTTTGATTTTCATTCAAGTATTCAACAATTCATTTGTCTGATTTTGTTTACCTTTTCCATTGCTTTGCCGTGTCCTTGCTTATTTCCTAAATTATTCTTGTTATTGTCTTCTTTATATTTGTTTCCACTCCGATACAAATTGTCTTTTCTTCAGCGTGAGGGTTGGTAGAACAGTCTAATCATTGTTGCCATAATTGAAGTTACTATACTTAGAAAATTTAGCTTTATACTAGCTACTGTAACATCCATACCTGAAGCAGTAGATCTGCACCAAGGGGGAGTCATGGATTTGATATTTGGAGAAAAGGCTGGAAGTTTTGAAGAACAGTGGATCTGCTTGGCTATGAATAGCACAAACTAATATTTATGTTATCTTAAAACACATTATTAGAGATGGCAAAAAAGTTTGTTTGGTTGAACAAAATCTGGTTTAAGAATATAGGCCAGGCTTTCTTCAGAAGTCTTTGGTTCATTGTTTGCGTAGCTTCCATTTGTCTTCCCCTTGTTTTTCTTTGACAGAATCAACAAATGTTTCACACTTGTTCCCTTCTCACATTTTGTCTTCTGTGCTTTCCAGAGGGAAAATTCCCATCACATGCATTTCTTTGACTTCATATTTACGTGATGTATATGTGTTACTTTGCCTTGTAGGTCTTCAATGCTATCTTACCGAAAACTATTAATATAATAATAGGAGCAACTAAGCATAACTTTTAGTTAATCTAAAACCCGTACAGCCGTTGAATCTTTTGGCTAATTACTAATTATTTATTTTTGCTTTTCTGTATGATAATGCAGGAAAAGCGCTTTCACAATTGGTTGGAAAATGCTAGAGACTGGGCCATTAGTAGAAGTAGGTTTTGGGGCACTCCACTTCCTATATGGATCAGTGAGGATGGTGAGGAGATTGAAGTTATGGGTTCCATCGAAGAACTTGAAAGGCGTTCGGGAATGAAGGTTTGTTCTTTGCCTTTGTTTTCTGGTAAACTTTTTGTTGGTTGCCACCTGCAATGGAAAGATATTGCTATCACATATTAATGACAAACAAGAAGCAGTTCCTCGAGGCAAATAGTTACTTCAGTTCAAACATTTCGAGCTTTGCAAGTAATCATAATTGCATGAACTTGCTCAGTCTACTTCGGATAAAGAACTTGTCTCCATTCCTGTAAAAAGGTGCACTTTAATTGAGAGCTCAGATAAATGAAATCTAGAGTCTGCCTTAAATATGTGAATATGCTTGCTTTTTTTTCACTCTTACATTCATAGTAAATTCAGTCGCTTGAGCCATTTTCAAAGATATTTGATCATCGTATAGTTGTTTGAACCAAAAGTCTAGAAGTGTGTTGTGTGGATATTAGAACATGCTCACATGTATCAAACACATAAAAAGTATTATCTAGTGACAACTCTGCATTGGTGATTGTCTATATCTGCCTTTTGCAATGCATCTATCTTTTGGATTGTCCAAACAAAGAAGGTATGCTTCATGATTGGCTTTATGTGTGGCTATAATATGAGATAGTAATATCCTAACTTGCTGGTTTATAGTGGTTGATACTTACTGATTACTCTCTCCTTCTCATAGGTCACTGACTTACATCGCCACAAAATTGATCACATCACACTTCCTGACAAGCGTGGTCCAAAGTTCGGTGTGCTTCGGCGTGTAGAGGATGTAAGAAAATCATATTTGCCTTTTCATTCTTGGATTAATTATAAGGAGCTTTTGCATATCTAATTAATTTTTGTGAGAAATATTTTGGTAGTAAATTAGATATCCTGTAAACTCTTTTTTCCTTGGCAGCCATTTTGTTTTGTTACAAACATCACTTGTATTTTTTTGATAGAGGGATTTCTATCTTTTCACCTTATTTTTTTTAATCTAGAATATCAAAAGTTGGCTTGGGTATTCTCGATTAAGATCCATCTCACTCAAATACGTAACTTGAACTTCAGTTATTGTCTTGATTGATCACAAATTTGTTGCATCATTTCAGGTATTTGACTGCTGGTTTGAAAGTGGGTCCATGCCTTATGCATATATCCACTACCCGTTTGAAAATGCTGAACTTTTTGAAAACAACTTTCCTGGGCATTTTGTTGCTGAGGGATTGGATCAAACTCGTGGATGGTTTGTTTTTCTTCCCTCCTTTCATCTAATGCAACTGGGAGTTAAATTTGTTTTTTTGCCATTGTTCTCATCACTATTTAGTTATTATATATGATAGTATGGGTACTTGTCTAGCTGCTCTGGCTCCTTCAAGTTCATTGCACTGTTATTCACCACACAAGTATTTTGAAATGAGTTGCTACACAATACTTGAATCTCAAATATGCACTGTGATATGGTCGAATCTGTTATTGTCTTTAGCACTATGTTGGCCCAATACCAAATTCAACGACCCAGTAACCGATTTGGAAATAGAGGTTTTCCAAATTGTTAGGGTTTTTGTATAGGAGAACAGTGAATTACTTTGATATATAATATGATCCTTGCTAACTATTTACATGTGTTCCACATGAATCAGGCAGCTGTCTCAGACTTGTTGTATTTACAGATTTAATGTGATCATCGAGAAACTATCTGTTGTACAATGCATAATGGATAAAGGAAATAGAAAGAAGATGGTTCACAAAAAGTTAACACATTTTACTATTTTGGAACAGATAGAAAACAAAAACTAAGTAGAATTTCTTGTAGGAAAGATCAATTTCATGGTGCCTCCATCAAATAGAATGCCTCAATCTTTCAGAACTCTTTTCAACAAAAAGAAAGCTCATATCTAAACTTCTTTCTACTGGTTTCTGATTTTGGTAGTCTTACTCCAGCACTGTTCAAACTTTTCTGGTGGAATGTGATTTTGATGGCAGAATTATCTTCCCAAGACATTCCTTTTTTCCTGCGTCTGTTCTATAATCAAAATGTATACTTGTTCGTGGTACAGGTTTTACACTCTTATGGTCCTTTCTACAGCATTATTTGAGAAACCTGCATTTAGGAATCTCATATGCAATGGGCTTGTGCTGGCTGAGGATGGTAAAAAGATGAGTAAAAGGTTGAAGAACTATCCTTCTCCTATGGAAGTCATTGATGATTATGGCGCTGTAAGTGCTTCAAGTATCCTCTTGGGCTAGTTGAACAAACATATAATCATTATCCTCCTTTGGCAGAATTTGTGACATAGAATTAGTTGTTTTTATCTTTTCAAAATTTTGATCTGACTATATTGTCATCAATATGATTACAGGATGCACTGCGATTATACATTATAAATTCTCCAGTAGTTCGTGCAGAACCTTTACGGTTCAAAAAGGATGGAGTCTATGGTGTTGTGAGTAATCCTTAATCATAAGCACTCAGTAGCTGTGCTTGAATTTTACACTGGTTTAAACTATTAGCCACATTTTTGACTTCTGGGAAAATCGATCATATTCACAATTGATATGAATTTGCTGAATAACAACATTTTTAATGAGTTCAGTCAGCAAAGTCGTTTCGGCACCAAACACATTTTATAACTTCTTTAAGTGGCAAAATGGGGTTTCAATTATGGGAAGGGGGAGTATATCATTTTCTGTAATATCTCTTGCAACATTCCGCCTTTCCTACTTTTTGCTGATCTAAAAGCTGATTTTCTGTGCAGGTTAAAGATGTATTTTTACCATGGTACAATGCATATAGGTTTCTAGTTCAAAATGCAAAAAGACTTGAGGTGGAAGGGCTTGCACCGTTTGTTCCCCTAGATCAAGCCACCCTTTGTAACTCACCTAATGTGCTTGATCAGTGGATCAACTCAGCCACTCAGAGTCTGGTTCATTTTGTTCGTCAAGAAATGGATGCCTATCGACTCTATACGGTAAGTTGGTTATCTGTTTGTAAATACACACACAGATACGTACATATCCATATAGTGCATACACACATACACGTATATGATATACACACACCATATCTATATTTAGAGTCCCCTTTTGAGAATCAGTACAAACCAATCCCAACCCTCCATCTAGTCTAATGAATATCTTGATCCATAAGTATTTCGATTGTTTCCTAATCTCAAACGTTGATGAACTCTGATCTTCTTTAAATATCCATATCATAATAAATGAACCCTTGTCATTTCCATAAATATCTCAATTGATTTTGTATTAATTAGGTGGTTTGCAAAAGAAGGAATATATATGTATATATGTGTGTGTGTGTGTGTGTACATTCATAAACACATTTATGCATCTCAATATGTATGAATATATATGTATACTCATCTATACACACATGTATATAAGTATGTATATGTTATATGTGCAAACATACATAAATACATGTGTGTATACACACACTTTTGCTACTTTTTTCACTTGTCTTTTGCTCACCTGCGTCTTTTAAAATTTCAATTGCAAGTCKGGTTTCTTTATGGAAACAGCTTCTCTATCCCTTTCAGATAGAGGAAAGATCTGCTTACATTCTTCCCGCTAGACCTTATCTTCTGAAGTTCTACTCTTTACAAGTGCTTTAACAATAAAAGATAGACATGTTTATAACAAGGCGAGAAACATATTTTCAAGTGAGAGGGGGATGCATAGAGATCCTCTTTAACTAAATCCCCATAACGCTAAAGCCTACAATAGAGCAATCTGGTAAGTAACAATTATTACATTTTCCATGCTGCTTGTGAAGATGAGTAAAGATTTATAAGCTGTGAGGCTTGTGCTAGATTAAATAACGGCTGTAGTAGCCTGTATCTGTTTTCATTTTTGTGGCTGTTTCTGTTCCAATGTATGGTGTGAGGGATATCTGTCGTATAGCATTGTGTCTTTATTGGTGCTTAATCTCCCAGATGAATACTTATCTCTAAATTTATTTGCAGGTGGTTCCTTATCTTTTGAAGTTCATTGACAATTTAACTAATATATATGTACGTTTCAATCGGAAAAGATTGAAAGGCCGCACTGGAGAAGAGGACTGCAGGACGGCGCTTTCAACTCTGTACCATGTATGGTTTTGATTTATTTGTTGAAATGCCCGTACAATCATCATACATTGTTCTGCTATCCTGAAATTCTTGCTTTTATTTTGTTCTATACTTTCACATGATGGTTTGCTTTGATTGGGTTTCATGATGGCATTAAACTTGTGCTTTTTATCTCATTAGATGCTTTCTGAATGCCATTGCCTTTTTCTTCCAGTGTTAAATATGGGTAGAAGTAGATGTAGCGAGTGATGGTCTAAACACTTGTTAGATAGTAATTAACTTTTGTGGTTATTAATTCTCGTGGAAACACTACCACTTAATCATTTGTATAGCATATATAATTGTAGAAAGCACAACACATCTTTTAGGGTGGTGTAACTAAGACATGATTAATTTGGTCACAGTGCAATTGTAGCAATTGGATGTCAGAAAATTGAAAACGATGAAATTTCCTAAAATTTATGATGTTCAGAACACTTGTAATTAATTATGTTTCTCTGACTGGGCTGTAGGTACTGTTAACTTCTTGTAAAGCAATGACTCCATTCACACCATTCTTCACCGAGGTTCTTTATCAAAACTTGCGAAAAATATCCAGTGGATCAGAAGAAAGTATTCACTTTTGCAGTTTTCCTGAAGTACAAGGGAAGGTACTACTTGGTTGGTTGCTAGGACACAACTTATATTCTTGTTCTTCCCATCTCGTAAAATATCTGATGATCAATGATGTTTTCAGAGGGGAGACCGTATTGAACAAAGTGTTAATAGAATGACGACAATTATTGATCTTGCACGTAATATTCGTGAGCGCCACAACAAACCTCTCAAAACTCCACTCAGGTAATGCTTAGAGCATCTCTCTTGCTGCCTTGTATAATGGTGCTTTACATAATAGTCTGCTGGTTTATTGTCCTTTTGTTTGTAATTGAGTTTGAATTACATGATTACAGTGAGATGATTGTTGTACATCCAGATGCCGAGTTCTTAGATGACATTGCCGGCAAACTAAAAGAGGTCAGTAGTGATGATTCTTTTTCTTTTATATATGAAATGATGATGGATTAAAGATAATTACATTTTTGGGTGCATGACATATTTAAAATGGCATGCACTAAGCTATGGCTGTTCATTCATGAGTTTTCTGGGTGATACTGGTATGTGCATTTGGTGAAGTTTGAATAATATGGTTTTGGCAAACAACTTACATTCACATGATATTCTGCACCTTTCTATAAGCTGTTATTTTGGTGGACTCACAAAAATTCCAATTCAGCTTTTAATTGTATTATAAAAAATTTACAGTTCAATTTATGAATAAGCAAACTTTCGTAATATCTTAGTTAGATTGCATGAATAGAACAGGATTTTTTTTCCTTGCGTAATTGGTAATGCATTGCTGATATCTCCTACAAGAAGTTTCATGACTTGGTGATGATGCAAGTAATAATATTTTGTAGTTTAGTCTGCATCAGTAGCCTGAAAGGCAGAAACATGGCTAGTTTTATAGTATTTGTTAAGGTGTCCTCAGTATTGTATTAATGGGAGTCTATAATGAATTCTATTCAATGTGATCTCAAGTCAAAAGTTACAAACTGTGATCAATGCCTCATTGTATTAATGGGAGTCTAAGGTGTTTGTAGGTTTGTTTGTGAAACATGCTTCACTGATATTTACTACCATTTTTACTTTTAGGTTGCAATTTTATTTATTGTGATTATTTGGCTGAATTTGCATACAGTATGTGTTAGAGGAGCTCAATGTCAGATCTGTTGTGCCATGCAATGATCCTTTGATGTATGCTTCCTTGCGTGCTGAACCTGATTTCAGGTACTTTTAAGCTCTTCTATTTCATCTTTATTTATTTATTTCTGTAGTCTTCCCCATTCCCTTTTCTTTGTGCATTGTTTCACCTTCTTTGTGCTTATGTTTGAAGCAGGGTGCTTCAATTTTTTTATTGAACTCCCGAATTAGGTCTTTGGGGATGTGCATTGCATGGGGTGTTAACCATTTCCTGGAATTGTTGACCAAGCATTCACGGGGATACAATAGACGTCTCGGTCTTTCTTTTTTACCAAAAAGAGTTAAAATTTACCAGACTGTCAAAATTAGAAATGAAGACCGACTCAAGTTTATGATTGAAAAACATGACTACATTATTATAGGTTGTTACTTTTTTGACAGTCTGGACTAATATGGATATACCACATAAAAACAACACCACGATAAGACTTGGGTATTTATCTTGCATATTTTAAAAGCTCCAAATGCCAGTAGGTGCTTATGGATTGTTGTTAATGTTGTGTAGTGTGTTGGGTAAAAGACTGGGCAAATCAATGAGAGTAGTTGCAGAGGCAGTGAAGGGAATGTCACAAGAAGACATTTTATCTTTTGAAAAAGCAGGGGAAATTACTATTGCTACTCACTGTTTGAAGCTGACTGATATCAAGGTTCTATTTTCTTATTGTCTCCCTCAATAAATACCATCATGTATAATCATGATTTATTATAACATTTGCCTAGATGTCCATAAGATCAACTTTGATTTTTAAAATGGAAGCAAATTGTTGGCATTGTAGATTATCCGTGGATTTAAACTCCCTGATGGTGTGACAGAAGAGCAAATGGATGCAGCTGGTGATGGTGAGGAATTTCTGTTTAAATAATTAATTAATGATCAATAACATTCTCATGTAACAAACATGACTTTTTAGGTGATGTTTTGGTTATACTGGACTTGCGCCCTGATGAGTCATTGTTCCAAGCCGGTTTTGCACGTGAGGTATTATTTAAATAATACCACTTTGTTTCCTTTTCAAGATGACCCATAAAAATTATAATATTTCCTTTTTAGTTAATTTAATTGAAAATTATTTACTTCCCCATTCTCCTATCTTTTCATTATTGAATGGTATATTAGGCATTTGGTTAATAATAATCAAGCATCTTTCTTAAAATTAGTTTATTCTTATAAATACTATTGTTGTAGGTTGTTAACAGAATCCAAAAGTTACGGAAGAAGTCTGCATTGGAACCAACCGACATGGTTGAGGTCTACTTCAAATCATTGGATAAAGACACATCTGCCTCTGCCCAAATGTTAAAATCCCAGGTAATTTCCCCTTGTGATAAAATTATTACAAGTTGGATTTTATCACTTAGGAATATTAATAAAATCGTCTTATTTTGTTTGTTTTGGCAGGAAACATACATCAAAGAGGCGTTAGGCTCTCCTTTACTCGACTTTAGCATGATTCCAAAACATGCTGTAAGATTTCCGTTTTTGCTAGTGAATTTTGCAAGTTTTTGTTTGTCGTATACTGATAGTAGTAAATTTGCTGCAGGTGATCATTGCTGAGGAGACGTTCCACAACATCTCAAATTGCAACTTTAAGATAACGCTGTCAAGAGCAGCATTAGCGTTTAACGAAAAGGCAATCCTTGAAGACTTGTATTCAGGTCAACTTTGCTCCTTTCTATCTTTCTTTTCATGCATATTTGTTGGTTATGGAAAATTAAGATTTGTTTTCGGCAGCAGGGAATACAAAATATGCACAAGGGTTGCAGATATATTTGTTGTCTAGGGACCACGCCAATCTCAAATCAGAATTTCAACTGGGAAACGGGAAGGTTTGTGTAAAAGAAAAAAGAAAAAAGAAAAAGAGTAAACTATGTTTCTTGTCCCTATGATTTGTTGAAATTGCTACTTTGTCCCTGTGCTTTTTAAATTATGGTTTTGGTTCCTATGGTTTACAATTCATTGCTATTTTTGTTCCTCATACTTGGCGGCAAAATCATAGACTGAGTTGGCCCCAGGATTAAAAACAGCATTGAATTGCAAACCACAGGGACTATAAACCGTAATTTCGAAATCACATGAACAAAAGTCGCAACCGTTCAACAGAACACGGAATGAAATCGTAGTTTACTCTAAAAAAGTACACGCTTTTCTTTTGTTACCGTCTCTGAATCAAGAAGTGATGAATGAGTTTGTGCAGATTAAAGTGGATTGCATCGAAAATCAGCCAGCTGTAGATGTGGTGTTGGGAGAACACGTTTTTTTGACAGTTGGGGATTATCTTGCAAGCACGAAAGCTTTGTGATAACGGATTTTTGACCAGAATATGAAAAGAAAGAACGATTACAGCATACAGTTACAAGGTTGCCAAATAATTGTTATATTTGTTGAAATTAAAAAACAAGATGAGAGAGGACTGCATATGTTTTCGGAAGGAAAGGAGATAAGTGGTGTTATTTTGAGTTTGAAGGCATTGTAGACTATTTATAGTAGTAGTAAGATGTGTGTTTTTGCACCTTTGGTTCTGTTTAGTTGCAAGTATTATACAAAGCTGTCTGTAACATGAAGATGGACGAATTTCTGAAGTGATCGGTTTTCGGATTGGTTACAACCAGGCCCTTCTTTTGGTCTTAACCGATCTCCTAGAGAGATTACAGTTACTGACAGATTACTCGACTGTCTGTCAAACAAAGTGGTTAGCAAACAGTCCACGGCATAAAAAGAAGAGGTGTGGGTGGAAGCATCACCTAAGTTCGGCAGACAATCGAGTTTAGTGGGCATTCGATATCCGAGTGTAGTGAATACTCTGTTTGTGAGAGGTCATTCTATCCCAAGAAGCAATCTCTCACAGTAAAGTGTGTAATGTCCTTTAGAAAGTAACCAATATGCCAACCTATGGATTTGCTATCAGTGCATACTGTTGAACCTGAATGAGTGAGAAACAAACAAGTAATTGTAAGGGGGAATAGAAATCGTAAAAATAGACATAAACTGACATATTACTAATCTACCCTCGTTTATTTATTATCCATAATAAGGTATTTGTTTTAATGGTCATCATCGTTTATTGCCTATTGTTGCCACCCCCACCAACAGCCATGGATAGCCACTGACGACCACCTCCACCATCTCTACAACCACTGTTGGCCACCTGTTGTCATCACCACCACTGTTGGCTACCTCCACATAATCACAATCACCACAATTGGCTACCATGACCGCCGTCCACCACATCGGCTATAACCATCTCCTCCACCATTGCCGGCTGCCAACACCACTACTCTCCACCATCTTCACGTACTTCATGATCACTGTCATTCACCAACCATGACTGCCTCTATCTCCACCTCCACCTTAACACTGTCATTCACCTCTGTCTTTGCCACTATCGCCACCTCCACTTCCACCATCATATCCATCAACACCACTTCTACCTCAACCACCACCAACTCCTTTGATTGCCCGTGTTGGCACATTGTCGCCGCAACCTTCACCCCACCATCGGGATCTTTCAAACCGAATAAAACATATATGAATCGCTTTTTTTAATACCATCAATTTGATATAAATTCTTCATTTAAATTTGATACAATTATATATGTAAATAGTTATGTATATGAAAATTGTGTATGTTTATAAATTAAATTATTTAAGTATTTATTTGATTTGTATAATTTATGACTATTATATGCGATATAACAATTCCACTTTCTTCCATTTACATTGTAATATACTCTATCAATTAGTTTTCATTAAACAGTTCTTTTTATAAATATGATTATTTTATCAGCTACCGATTAGATTATCAACTGATAGGTCAAACTAGTTAAAAAAATAAAAATAGCCTTAAATATTTCAATACGACTTTATGAATCTGTGTTTTTTTTAGATCCTCATATTTTTATAATAATATTTAATACATTAATCTATACTGTGTTGTAACGCATATTTCTTAAAATTTAAGATTACAAGTAAATTATGCGTAAGTACAACTTACTAAAGCTTCATTTTTGAATTCGTATAATTAACTGCAGATAAACATAATCAAATACAAGATAAACATCTCATTTTAAATATAAAAAATCTAAAATATAATTAGAATAATCATTGAGTTCTAACAGAATCATTATCTTTATAAAAAATTTATTGTTAAGCCAAAAATAAATTACTTCACTATTTGACTTAAATTAAATTATAATAAAAATTGAATTAAATAAATTGTACAAAAAACGAGAACTTTTAAATAGTTAGTTTGATAATAATATCAATATATTTTTTCAAATTTTTATGATGTCTTCAAATTTATTTTTATTCAAAAGTAAAAACATTATCTTCATCAAAACCATATAAACCGTATTATATCACCAGAGACAAAAATTAAAACGAAACATTAAAATGAAGATGTATCCCGCTGCATTGTGCGGGTACCCTTCTAGTTATTTATAAAAGCATTGATGGATTAACAAAGATAGAGGCGGATCCAGAATTTTTTTCAAACAAGGGATAAAACAAATAGCATTATACAAAATAAAATAAAATATTAATTATAAATATTACAGTTTCATTAAAAATAACATACAAGTGGTATCGTTTTTTCCCCCTGCAACTGTAACCAAAAACTTAGAAAATTCAAAGGGATTCAAGTCAACGACTTAGTATCTAATTCGAACGAAACTAGATTAAGACTGGTGTTACTATAACTCTCACCGAAAACCGTTATCTCCAACGATATGAAAATGTCACAAATATTTAAGTCCTTCATGAGTCTCGAATTAGCACTTGACTTTGGTCAAGTTTCGCTAACATTGCTTCCCACGAGGACCAGATGCACATGTCGATAAGAAAAGGTGTTTGGCTTAAAGCTTAGTGAATTCAAACAATTTTTATCGTATTTATAAGACAATAAAACAAAAAGACTGCTTATTAAATCATAAGTTTTCAAAAGAAACGTTTTTATCATAAAACTGACATCTTTCCAAAACCCAATATTTTCGTGTTGAAAACTCAATAACCCAAACACCCATTTCAATAAGAAACCAAAACCCGATACTCACCTATATTATGAATAAAACTTGGTATTCAATTATCAGAAACATGGATAAAACTCAAGTATTTAAAGCAACAAAATATGAATAATATACGACATCCCAAACATCAGATCACGGGTACATTCCATATCAAAAACTACACCGATAACATGCATAATATCATATCCAAAACATATATTTTGATGTCGAGGGAGACCCGATTCCATTGAACGTGACAAAACACAAAAGTAAGTCACATATCATTGTTAATGAGCCCAACTACGGATCAATGGCCATCAAGTTCAAACACCCACAGTCTATACCTTGCTTGAGACCCCCGATGATCCTAAATATGTTCGTTCACTAGAAAAAACACCATATGGTCATGGTCGATGTTCAACTTCATGATCACGCACTGCAATACCCCCCGATGACCCAATGCCTATTTCTAACTACAATACGGGAATTACCATCCCGTTTTAAACCACCAAACCGACTCAACAAACTACACCGTATGGTCAATGATAGGTGTCTGATTCCAAGAGCCCACACCATAATGTCCCTGATGGCCCAATGCCTATTTCTGGACATAATACGGGAATAACCGTCCAATTTCAAACCAACAAAAGCATACTCCTATGCTTATAGATCCATTACATTATAGTTTACATTAAATGACTCCAAATTAAATGAACAATACATTCAAAACATGTAATTTTCAAATAAATATGCAATAAATGCAAATTATGTCAAAAGCTCAACATTGAGCATTTTAAGCGGGACAAATGTTCTCAAAACTTATCTGAGTCAAAACCAAACTAATAGCTCAAAAACTCATTTACTATTTCCAATTTGGTAACTGAATAATTCCATATATCCCGAAAATTTATATTTTAATAATAATAACGGAATTATGGGTGTTACATCACAAATCAATTTAAAACAAGAGCACGTGTTGAAACAAATTGAAATTACTCATCAATTTGAAACGGATTGAAATCACTTATCGATTTGAAACAGGTCGAATTTGATATTGTTGAAGTAAATAAGTTGTTGAAGCAGATCGATTATCGAGTTTTTTCGGTGATCCCTGTAGAGAGGGATAAACTCGACCGGTTGAATCATGGTACTTTAGTGCGAAGAGAGGGAGATGTCACACCTCGATTTTCGTTTGAGTGTTGTGACGTCAATCTTAATAACTTATGCCTTGAATAAAATACAAACGTTAAAATTCATACATATATAATGTGTTAAACATAATTCATTACATAATTTTGAAGCGTAAAACATTTTAACAGAATCAATGTTAATTAAAATATCAAAACTAGCATGATCTAAAATATAGTCCTGTCTTTCTTCATTCGAATCATGTGATGGCAATCGGTACCTGCGATATATACATGTATATTATAAGCTAAAAGATTAGTGAACACAATATGGTTTTATGATAACATGCACATATAATAGTGTTTTAGCTATTATCTTGCAAGTGAGATCTCGACTCATCACTTGTCTTTGCGTATGCGGCGTATTTTATGGACGAGGACTTCAAAACTTTGGAATTGAAAGCCATTCTTACATGTCCACTCACCCGATGCACACATAATAGTGTTTTAGCGTGTTTCAATCAATATCTTGCAAGTGAAGCCTCAACTCATTACTTTTCTTTGCGTATGTGGTGTATTCTATGGACGAAGAGTTCAAGACCTTGGAATTGTAAGTGCTTCTTACATGTTCACCCCACCCCGTACAATGGACGAACCTTGTTGAATCATACTAGTTGCATACTATTTATTTGCAATACTTATTAGTTAATGCAAATCTCATTATGACATGAAATATACATCTCATGAAAGCGAAAATATATATCACATACACATCGTCATTATCTTTCCTTTATATACATATACTTGAATATCGTATCAATGATATTAAGTCACCATAATCTTTCTCATTATTATCATCAACAATATCTTTCATATCATGCATATACTTGAATATCATATACATCAATACAATCAAGTTATCATCCTATACATATAAAGACATAATGCAAATATCATGGATAAAATACTTTGTAATAATCATGTATATATCCCATATAAATCGCTTGAATCACTAATGTTTGATATGTCGTTTTCTCAAAAAACGCAACCTACGTGATAATTTATATCGTTTCTAAGCATCTTAAATAATCGTAACTAAACTGATCATTACTTCCCAACGATCTTAACATGACTAACTTTTAACAAATTTTATTGATCAACTCCCAATACCATCGTATCTCATTTTCACTCAAATATTAACTTGAAATATTATTATAAATACATATAGTCCTTATAATGTTTCTTGAGTTTAATTGACTTTTGCACATTTAAAAAATGTGCAATAGACTTCAGATTATCTTGAAAATGAATATTTTATCAAAATGGCTAAAATAAATAGCTTGCAATGTAAAAAACATTTTATGGCCAAAACATATTTTTTAAAATTTATAATGAATTATGGTGACAACATCAAGAC